GACTTTGTGAATAAGCCGTGTTATCATTCGCTTTATCAGTTCCATTGGGCCACTTAGTAGGACCATATGGCGTATCTTTGGGAACATTAGACCAGCCAATCGATTTTTGGAACCAATCAATCAGATTTGCAGTTGTTGCAGCCCAACACAAAGTACTGTCTTTACTCATATAAGGGGTAGTATAATTAAGAACAGTCACATCATCTCTTCCTTCCCATTCCTTATTACAATCAAACCATCCACTCTCTATAGTAATTCCATCTGCTAAAAATCCACCTCCACGAGTCGAAGTCTCTTGAACTGTTAATTCGAAAGAAGCAGTGAGTGTAGAGTCTTCATCAGAGACTGCAGTGATAGTTGTTTTACCTGAAATAGTGGGAGTAATCGTATATATATTTTCAGCCTGAATTCCAGTGTTTTTATTTGGGTAAAATCCATCGGCCGATGAAGTTACAGTTACTATTTTGTTATTAGCCAATGGAGGATTGACATGGACTTGGAAACTGAATGGTTTTCCTTTCACTATTGTAATGTTTTTAAAAGCAAAAGTAACACTTTTAACGTGTATAGTTCCGTGGAAGACAGTGAATATCTGACCCGAAGTGACATGAATTTGACCGTAATTCTTGTCATACACTGCAGTAATAAGAGTACTACCTTCCCCTCTTGCAAGTAATTTTCTTTCAGACACTTTGAGGATGTCCGACTCTTCAGACGTGTAATAAAGATTCTTATCTTCTTCACTAATTAATTGATGACCTGGTTCTAAATAGGCTGTCAACGGCATTTCATCATAAATTTGCATTGTAGTATTTGCAGCTTCAAATGTTATTCTTATAGTCGGGTCTTCAGTAATAGTAAATACCTTTGTAACAACTATATTCTTAGTCAAGTGTGTACATGTCACTGTTGCTGTACCAGCAAATACTCCAGTGACAGTTAAATCGTTTCCAGTTTTTAAGGCTGTTACATTGGAAGAAGACAACAGAACTTCACTCGATGAAAGTTGTGTTTTAGATGGCATCAAAAAGACTCTTAATGCCATTGATTGACCTTCTTGAATGGTGTCTTGGTCTGTATCAAGTTTAAGTGATTCAATGAACACATTAAAAGTTTTTGAGTCTTCAAAAGTCACACCCTTCTCAGTGTATGTGCACTTCACTGTTGTTGTACCTTCCCTCTTTCCTTGTAGTGATAAATTTGAATTGACTAAAATTACAGATGCGTCCTTTGCTACACAATAAACTTCACTTGATAAGAGCTGCTAGCTGGGTAAGCATACACGTTGATGTATACTGTGTCGTCTACTTTAACATCAGTGACTGTCGCCTCAATACCAATTCTTGTTGTAACAATTTCTGTGTACACTGCGAATATAAGTGTAGTTCTGAATACCTTTCCGTTTTCTGTATAACTCACACTAATAGTCGCAGACCCATCTTTAACTCCAGTAACTTTTCCTTCACCATTTACGTTCAATATATCTGGATGATTTGAACTGTAGGAGACTTGATTTGAACTTAAAATTCTTTTATTGGGGTTTGCGTATACTCTTAATACCGCGGATTCTCCCACTTTAATACTAGTTGAGTCGCTTTCGAGAGTAATAGAGTCTGTCACAACTTCCGCTATTGAAACAACGAACGTCTTTTCTGCACTGAATGTGTTTCCGTTTTCTGTATAACTGACTCTAACATTTGCAGAACCAGCTGAAATTCCATTGACCTTTCCTTCATTAGACACAGTGAAGATGTTATCATTCGACGACGAATAAGTGACTTCTGCATTTGTCAAAGGGCGATGTCCAGGGTTGGCATATACCTTTACAGTAATGATCTGACCTACTTTAACGCCTTCAGACTCGGACTCTATAACAATGGCATCCGTGGCGATAACTGTGTACACCATAAAGTCTTTGGTCTGCGTTATGACCTTTCCATTTTCAGTGTATGAACAAGTCAAAGTCGATGTCCCTTCATTAACACCAGTCATAACTCCATTTGAAATAGTCAAAACCGAAGTATTTGAGAACGAACAAATGACTTCTGAGGTACTCAACTTCTTGTGGGCCGGCTCGGAGAATACAGTCAATTGAATGTTCTGTCCAACTTTGATGGAAGTAGTCTCACTCTGAAGAATCAAGCTTTCAGTTGCAATTTGCTCGTATATCTCAACTATAGTTGCTTCATATAAAGGATGTCCAGGGATAAATATTCTGATCTCAGTCTTACCAACAACTTTTGGGATGATAAGACCTTTGGAATCAATTGTGGCAACTTTTTCGTCTGAGGAAGTAAAAGTCAGAGATAAATTTGGGTAGACTTTGGAAAGCAGTTTTGGGACAACCGTGTGTGATTTGTCTAACTGAACTTTAATTGTCTTGACATCAACACACATGGGCAAATCAATGGCAAAGACAAAGAAAGCAAAGAAGAACACCAGGAGTGGTGTAATATTGTTTTTCATTTGCAATATATTTTTATAAGTTTTACTTAATTGTATTTATACTAAGTTCGTTTTTTGTGTGATTTCAAATGTATTTTTAATTGGTTGAAACAAACTTTGAATGTCAAGTTAAAACCAAAAAACGTAATTCGTTCCGATGGTTTATAATTTTCTCTAATTTTTATTGGAAAAAATAATGTAATGTTGAACGGTTTTATTGTTTTAAAAACACTCAAAAAAGTTATTTTTGAATTTATTTGTATTATATTTTATATATAAAATGCTATTATTAATAGTACAATAAATTTTAATATGGATTTTATAAAGTGTTATTTGCTATGTTGGTTTTCATACGTAAACCCAAATGATTGAATAAAATATCACCTATAAAAATGTTCGTTTTATATTTAAAAAATTATTTTTATTTTAAACCAAAAAACAAACATAACCAAATGCTCCATTCAAATATAGTAATTTAAAAGCATTTATTATTACTTGATAAAAAATTTATTATTTTTTTAATAGCAACCGAATTTCTTTTGTTGACAAAATAAGTATATAATAAACATATTTTATATACATATATCAGATAACAATCCAAATACAAACTTGACAAAAAAAATGATGATTATAGCTTTTTACATTTTAATGTTATTGAAAAACGAAACTAATTTGAAAATA